AGGATAAAGAGCAATCATGGCAGGCAGGATAGAAGTGCCTTTAGCACTCGGTTCATTTTGCTTTGCTAGAGGCATGCTGTGTCCCTCTTGTCAGGGGACCACAGAACAAATCCAGTGTAAATATAGGGCCCTGCAGCGATTTATTTTCAATATACACAAGCCCTAACCTGCCGTACCTGTATGTCTAAAAAGAAAGAAAGAAAGAAAGAAAAATAGGATGAACCAATATGTTTCTGGTTCCCCAGTGAGCAGTAAATCATTGCATTGTAAGGGAAAAAATAGACCATGGATTGCTTTCACTCAAGCTCTTGTCCTGGGGTAGTGCAAAATTCTTGATGGTACTGATGTGAAAAAATTTCCTTTATTAGATCTCGATGGGGCTCGAGGACACCGATTTTAATGAATATTCAAAGCAACTCTTTAATTTGGATTCCAATCTATGCTGGGGAAATGGTTGGAAAGAATGACCTTAGGAGGCAGGAGGGAGAGCTTCAGAGTGAACAGCCAGCATCTTAAAGATGTTTCCGTCCACAGAAGGAAGAGAAAAAGCGTGGGAAATGTTTGAGAAGGGACCCTCCCTAGTTTTCCAGAGAGTAAAAAGAAGGAAGAAATACTTGCACTCCTGAAAGTCAGAACTGACCTGGCACATCACTGTTTTGAGGATTCTAGATTCATATTGGGATGATGTCATATCACCCAATCAAGAGCAGAAGGGTATTTGAGATGCTCTTTTCTTACACGTAAAAATGATCCGATTGATTTTGAGATGATGTGATTTTCATGTCTCTTGCAAGAGGAAAAAAAAAATCAAGGAATCTGCTGGGATTTGGAGATGAGAGAGAAATTATTTGCATCTGATTGCTCTTTTGGAAGTCAGATGAATACAATGGAGGGTTGATTTTTTTTTTTAACCACAGAACAAAGGCAACATGTTTCAGATCAATCCAATTTCGGATACAATGAGTCGCCAACGTAAAAGCTTTTCTCTAGCAAAGGAATTTTTCATCCGCTGTAAACACTGAAAGACAAAATATGGGCCATGGGTTGGGATGCCACGTGAAGGGACAGGAGAGATGTGCTAGGGATGTATGAATTTGGAGTGGCTTAGGTAAAATATATCAGGAGTTGGCAGTACCTAGCTGACTGGGACGTGGTGGCTCAGTGGCTAAGATGCTGAGCTTGTTGATCAGAAGGTCGGCAGTTCAGAGGTTCGAATTCCTAGCGCTGTGTAACGGAGTGAGCTCCCATTACTTGTCCCAGCTTCTGCCAACCTAGAAGTTCGAAAGCATGTAAAAAAAAATGCAAGTAGAAAAATAGGGACCACTTTAGTGGGAAGGTAACAGCACTCGGTGCGCTTTTGGCATTTAGTCATGCCGACCACATGACCATGGAGACGTCTTCGGACAGCGCTGGCTCTTCAGCTTAGAAACGGAGATGAGCACCGCCCCCTAGAGCTGGAAATGACTATCACACATGTGCGGGGGAACCTTTACCTAGCTGACTTTACCTACTCTTAGTCTAAGCCAGGGGTGTCAAACTCGATTTCATTGAGGGATGCATCAGGGTTGTGTTTGACCTTGGAGGGACCAGGGGGCATGTCCAGGTTGGGGGTGGCTAGCTCGATGTCACTTGTGTCGGGGGCGCCTGTAGCGGCCCGAGCATTCTGCCAACAAAAACAGGCTCCAGAGCTCTGTTTTCAGCTGCGACAGCCTCCTGCAACCCTCTATCAGAGAAAATGGAGCTCGGAAGGGCAGCACACGGCCCTTCCAAGTTCCGTTTTTGCTTGCAGAGGCACCGTGGACTGGTCCTTCACTATTTCCATGGTGGCCCTGTAGGCCAGATCTAAGCACCCCATGGGCCAGATCCAGTCAGCGGGCCCTGAGTTTGACACCCCTGGTCTAAGCCTAACCAAGATCAGACTTGGATAAAGACTACCAGGAAATCTCTGAGAACTGTGAAAACCAATAGAAGGGAATAATTGTAACTCAGGGTTGAATTGTGGAGTCCTTGGTGCTTTCTGAGCTTGGTTGTTTTCTATAGTAGTGGCAAGCCACTAATATATAAAGAGCAAACCCAACTCCCTTCTAGCACTGATGATGTTACCTAGTTGGGTAATGATATGCCTGCAAGAAAACAGCCAAGCTCAGAGATCACCAAGGACCCCACAAATTGAGAAAAACATCCCAGATCAGGATTATAGGAATCCTCTTGTTTATTGATGCCAAGTAAAACTAAATGGACCTGTCTCTGAAGCCAGCAGGGCTCAAACTGGACTTGAAGAAGGCATAATTTTTTTTTTCAAGGAGACATTAATATGACAATTTCAGCATGCATCAATGTCTTTATGCCGCAAAATCACCAAACTCCCTTGCTCAGGAGTCAGCAACCTTAAACACACAACGAGCTACAAAGTTCAATTCTGGAGCCAACCAGAAATCCGGTTCCCCCACTATAATGTCTCCTCCTAGCGTGACATCCTTTTTCCTCTGCCGACCGGAAGTCCGGTTCTCCCACCATAGAGTCTCCTCCTAGTGTGGCATCCTTTTTCCTCTACCTGTCCTAACTGAAAGCCCTATCAATTGTGGAGCTGACCAGTGACAGGGAGCTGCAGCAGAGGGATGAAAGAGCCACATGCGGCTCCAGAGCCACGGGTTGCCGACCCCTGGTCTTGCTATAAGCAAAACATATGCAAAAAAGAGAGGGAGGGAAGGAGGAGGGAGGGAGGGAGGAAAGAAGGGAGGGAGGAAGGGAGGGTGGGAGGGAGGAAGGAAGGGAGGGAGGGAGGGAGGGAGGGAGGGAGGAAGGAAGGAAGGAAGGAAGGAAGGAAGGAAGGAAGGAAGGAAGGAAATGATTAACGACATTGGAAATGGTTGCATTAACTGAAAGCAGATCTTTTTGACCTGGTTATTGTTCCTATTTTAGAGAATAGCTTTCAGCATGCCAAGCAACAGGCAAAGTGTGATCCTACTCTAATTAAGTATTGACGCTTGTTCTTTGTATATAATCAGTTTCCTCAGCTTTTCTGCCTTGGTTGCTGTTCTGAGAACTCAACTTGACCTAAAAATGTTTCCTTCTCCTGGGGTCAAAGCATGTAACACTAGAAATGGATGTTAGGGGAGTTGATACTGTGCCACTATGAGGGCTTATTATCTGTTGTTTCATTGTATTACAGAATCACATGCTGTCTGGGGCTTAAGTGACAAAACGCTGACGTCTTCTTTGGGGAGGATGGGAGGGATCATATACCTCTTTTTCTGCTGAGGAAGCTTCCTCCAGCCAAAGTACAGTTGCTGATGAAAGGGCACCGATCTAACATTCATATTAATAGGGCACGTTTATGTTTATTCGACAAGCCTCTTCCCTTTATTTTCTCTTTGAGCATTCTAGCCAGCACTGGGTCTTTATTAACATGGCCACAGTTTTTTTTTTTCACAGAAAGCATGCTAAAAATAACTGCAAGGCCTCCTACAGCCTTGCAAACACTAAACAGATTGACAAGGTTTGATTATGAATAGACTAGACGACTAGACTAGACTAGGATAGACTAGACTAGACTAGACTAGACTAGACTAGACTAGACTAGACTAGACTAGACTAGAATAGAATAGAATAGAATAGAATAGAATAGAATAGAATAGAATA